ATTCTTTGGTGTCTTTGTGCCCTTTCCCATGCCCAAAGAGAATGAATAGCTCCAAGTATCCATCCATTTTCAACTCTATCATTGGCCATAGCAGCACAAAAAGAATGCATCCCCTGGGCCCATTTTTGAATTTACTTTAAGCTTTTCATTGTAAAAGCAATGCAAACTGGCTTTAGGATAAGTGAGAATTAAGTGTTGCACATATCGTTATGAAATCACAGGGGACCACAAGTGAAATTTGATATATTACTACACACATTTGTTGAATCAGCTCCCTTTAGAACCTGATTATCTTTTTAAACAAATTTTGTACATGAGCTGTAATATTTTATATCCACTCAAAGCTTTTCAGCCCAAAGCACTTAACAAGCTTAAAGACCTGGAGTGGGAACTAGCTTTTGTTCTGTGTGTGGACGGCACCTGGCACAATGGGAGTCAGTCCCTGAGTCAGGTTCCCATGTGTTGCTACAATAGCAATACCACTAATAATCTGAACAGTAGAATAGAAATACTGACATTTCTGGGTCAGAAAATATTAGACAAAGAATGAATGAGGCAAACCTTAATTTTCAAAAAAAGGAGTTACAGAAAGTAATGAGCATCCAAGCTAATGATATGTGGTAGATTTTGAAGTCTGATCTAAAAGACACACCCCATTAATGTATGTATCAGACCCTATTTGTGATTAAGTCTATTTTGTCAAGAACAAAAAGTATTTCTAAGTAAAGTGAATAAATCATGTGAGGATTTGACTAGTAAGTCACGATACAGGTATACATACCTATTTACACCTAGCTATGTATTATAGAGAGAAGGATTTCTGACCCCATTTCAAAAAAAAAAATCCCTCATCTATGCTGTATAAATACACAGTATTTACTTCTACTCTTTGGAAAATAAGGGCTGTTTCTTGTTGATATTCTGATTAAATGTTCTAATCAGTATTTTGACTAATTTCCCAAATAATTACTCTGAGCTTCTTAATAGAAATTAGAATGTGTATCCTTCTGTTATCAAGCCTAGTGAGCAGAGTATACAAATGGGGTGGTTTACATGTATATTTGAACATTTGTAATTGCACTACATCTGCAGTTTGGACCATACTGAGTGGTGGTGTATGGTTGTTCACTGAGTATTTTCTACTTTGGTGCTGGGCAGGTAAGCTGAAGAACATAACAGACATGTTTGGGGAGGTAAGACACCACTGGATGTCATTATTTCTCCTTCTTTGAGGCTGAAGCAAGTCTCCTCTGGAGGTGGAAAATGTGGCTATTACAGAAGGTAGTCAAGTTTGATTTTGAATGTTCTTGGTAGTTTGGAATGCTTCTCCTTAATTTAAAATAGCTTTCCAAAGTCAGACTTCTTCATGAGTCAGTGGAAACATACACATCCCTTTGCAAACGCAAGCAAAAACTTTGAACGGCCTAGTTTTGGTACAAATTGGTCAGCCTTCAAATGGCTCAACTCATTGGACGAGCCTCTCAACCTTCCAGGCTGCTCAGACACTCACATTGTGCTCCCTGAGCCTTCCCTCTTCCGTGGCTTCAGAGCAGCCAGTTTTGTGGTAAAATAAAAGTAGGCTAGAAACTAAGCATAAATGTAGTCATAAATGTCTGCGAGCATTTGAAATCTTGTCATTAAGTTTATGGAGTCCCTTCCTGCAGTCACTAGAAGTCCTGTTTATTTGAATGCAACAGTGGGCACATAAGCAAGTTGGGAAGTACCAAAATATGAAGTATCGCACTTAGTTACTGTGCAGGCATTTCCTCTAAGAAAGCACCAGTAAGAACTACCGCTGACTATGTTAAAAGTCAGGATTTACTTTTATGTCTTTTATTTTTCTGATCTGAGATATCAGCAAATGACCAGGAGCTCAGATATTTCTCCTCTGTTACTGGCTCTCTGCACATGACCATTAATTACCAGAAAAAGGCTCTCTTGCTTCCATTATCATTTGTAATAATCAGTCCTTGAGACTAAGCGCCAATAAAGAAAGATTTTTTTATATGTTCCTTATTTTTATTTTCAGAGGTGAAGCAGAGAGCTAGATTTTGTTATGTTGTGTAGCAGCAATATGATTGCTTTTTACATTCCAGATCCTTTTACCTTGTCTACTATACCATTGTACATATGAGGTATAACTACATCACAGTCACTGAGTATCTGTCATTGATGGCATCACTTAACAATATGGGTTAGCACAGGCATAGCTGAAGGACTTCTTTGGTCCACAGACTTTCCATGTTTTGAAACAAGGAAAGATACCATCTTAATGTCCGGACCTGTCCTAGTTGAAACGGTCGGTAATGAGAAGAAACCCTGTGTGTTTGTAAATGAGGCATACTGTGTGGAGAAGTAACCTAACAATGTCTTTTACATAAATACTTTATAAAGATGAAATGCTTTTGAACTCTGTCTTGCTGCTCATAGAACTTTTACTATTTACTTCTAAACCACAAAGCCCCGAAGAACCTCCTAGCTTGCCCACATTGCCTACCTACAACAATTTGCTGTGTTTATACATAGTATTTTTTGTCTTGCTAACAAAGTCATAAATCTTCAATGCCTGCAGAAAGACAAGAAGATTTGAAGGTAGAGATTTAGGAGTTTATTATGGTTTTGTAGCAAAGCGTGATATACACAAGTGAGATTGGAAAGTAATTCTCAAAATTCTGGGCCATGTGAAGGTACAAGGGACCATACATCCTGAACTGAAAAACTGGGGGAATTAAGACAGGATTAGTCAGCACAGAAATCATGTGAGTGAGAATGAAAAGCATGAAAAAGCCCTATTCAGAAATTAAGTAAATATCTAGGAGCACTCTAACTGAGGTAAAAATTAGATATTTGTCTATTTTCACTCAAGTAGGCTAACAAGTTGATTATGAGCATTCTAGATATTTCTAAAATGGCTTTATTATTTAACTTTATATGCTAGATAGCATATCTAGAAATGTCAGAACTGTTTTCCTTGTTGCCAAAGACACAGCCAAAACATTAAGTTTGGGGTTAGTAGGTGCTTTTACTGCAAATGGAAAAATATTTCTTTAGTGGATTATTTTTCCTTGAAATTTTTTCACAAGAAATAAAACCTGCAACAAATCAGCTCCACATGTCACTTATTTGAGTTAAACTGTGTGAAATTAAATTTTAACAAGGGACCAATCTGAAATCTATAGAAATCTCTGAAAACCTTTCTATTAATTTGAGTGATCTTTGATTAGGCCTTACATGAAGAAACACATTTATGAGTCCCAAAGATGGAACCCATTAAAATACATTTCCTTTATTTTATATATGTAATTAAAAAGATTTTATGTTTTATGAGTCCTTATGAAAATATTTTACTATAAATTACATAAAGATAGGGAAGTTCTAGTAACAGAGTAACCCGAAGAAAAACATTTGCTGGTACAAATAAAGGTTGGTCTCTTAGCGTTTAAAAAACCTGCGCTATATTCAATAACAAATAAAAAAAGCTTATGTAAGGTCTTTCACTGTACAAACAGCACAAATATGATCATCACATTTAGGTACACGTTATAAATATGATTCAGTAAAAAAGTGGTTTAGCAAGACACAGTGGAGAAAACAGCTTAAAGGTATCTGTACCTCATGGAATGGGCGTGATAGAGGGAAATTTCCTTGGCTATTAAAAGCCCCATTGCTCTAGAAGTTGCATCTTTTTTCTCTCGTCCTTTCTCTTAGAAGGGAGTGGGTGGAGGGGCATGGAGGGTTTCCCTTTACACTGTTATAATCAGACAAAGCCGATTTTTATAAATATATATCGCTTTATTTGGGTTCAATCGATTGAGGGTGGGAAGCAATAGGCAAAGCAGCGCTGGGTGCGAGGAGAGCCACACCTCTGCCACACGCACCCCAAGCTCCAAAAAGCAGCGGATTTTTAGACTCTTGTGCCGTCGTCTTTAACCAATCTCCTCCCGTCAGGGTGTTGTCCTGCTCTTTTCCATTGGGTCATTTGAGTCGCTCGGGTGCGTGTCCTCCTCCTATTGGGTCTTTCGAAAGTCTCGAAGCCTTGGTCTGCTGGCGCGCTTTTCTCCTATTGGATCTTTTAAAAGCCTCATGATCCCATCTTTTTGGGGGGCTTTTCTTCAAACAGCA